TGCCACCTGCACACACCTGGATAGGACCTCTCCCTGGCCCTGTCACAACGTAGCCCCCCAGGCCTCTCAAGCCCCACTCCAGACACCCAGGCTCCCAGTCCCCCTCCAGCCCCCTAGGTCCCTGAGCCCCCCTACCAGTGTCCAGGCCTGAGCCTCCAGAGCCTGGGAGGAGACCCCTAGAGTCACCCCCATGCCCCGGCACTCCAGCTCCAGCCACTCTGGGTACTGAGAGCCCAGCCAGCAGCCCCTTCCCCACCCAGTATCCTCTGAAGCGTCCCCGGCAGCTGGTCCACCAGTAAGGATCCCCATCCATCTGTACAGCAGCGAGACACCCTGCACCCTGGCAGGCTTAGACAATGAACACAGCGCTGGCTGATTCCCCTGGACGCCTGAGGTGGCCTCCTCTGCTGGCCCTCAGGGCTGACCCTTCCCATCTCAGTTTTGGAAGTAGGCCCCTCCTCCCCAGCTTGAAATCCGCCCCCCAGAAGGGAGGGGACCACAACTTCAACCTACAAGCTTATATGTCAGCAGCCACATCTCAGAAGAGGTTTCCTGGGACCCCTGGGCCTGCCCCCCTGTGGCCTGCCCCCCCCCCATGCTGACCACTTGCCTTACCCCCCCGACCCAAATCCTACATTCTGACAGCTGTGGTCTGAGCACCATCACCTGCCCCCCACGGTCATCCCAGACACCTGCAAACCCAGGGCCACTCCCAGATCACGCCCCCTTCCAGAACCCGGCCCACTTAGAGGACATGCCGGCCCCCTCAGAAGAGCTGGCATCCCCAGCACAGCCACGTTCTTGCCGCCCTTCCTCCTGCCTCCAGGGGCACCCCCTCGCTGCCCTCCAGGTCGATGCCCTTCCTCCGCCCTGCAGCCACCAAGGCAGAGCCTGGACCCGGGAGGGCTCGTTGTGACTGACAGTCACGGGCAGGGTGGCTGCTGCTCGGGGAGCTCCAGGGCCCGAGGCTGGCCGCCTGCCCTCCAGCCCATCCTGCACCCGAGCAGGGCAGAGGTCGGGGCACCCTTGCCCCGTGAATGAATGAAGGTGATTTCAGGAGCAGTACTGGTGATGATTGTGCAGCAGAGGAAACTGAGGCTGGACACAGGGAGGGGCACCCAGGGTCCACTGGCCAGAAAGGATGTAAATGCAGACCCAACTACTCCCAGGGCCGGAACAGGTGCAGCCAGGCCTGGGTGGGGCAGCATGGGGGGAGGGGGAAGGCAGGTCACATGGTGTGGGATTGGCAGCTCCAGGAACCACCCCCTCCAGACTGCCCCTCCCACCCAGAGAAGAGGTACCAAAGAGGTCTCATTCTGGACCCCACTGGTCAGGCCTGGTTGACCCCAGGCTCGGGCGCCCAGTGCTGACTGGCCACGGTCTGGGGCCAGGGCGGGGGCAGTAGGGGCTCACCAGCTGGTTGTTCTCATAGATGTTCTCCTTCCTGAGTGCATCGAAGTCTCTGGAAGATGGAAACACATGCATTCGTGCTTGCAGCCCCGGGCTCCCAGGTCATCCCGCCCACACTGGAAAACTAAGGCTGGGGTGGGTGGGCCACACGGTGCGCTCGAGGGTGGTGGGCAGGGCCCCAGTTGGGGTGCCTGGCCCTGCTCTGGGCACTGTGGCCTCCCTGCCCAGCACCCCGGCCACCTGGTGCACACCTGGCCTTACCAGTGTCCTCACCCAATCCCCCACCCGGTGCTGTCCCCTTCTGAATGGCAGGAGAAAACCCAGGGGAAAGCCCCACTGACCAGCCTGGCTAGGCAACATCCACGGCTGGGGGTTCCGGGAGGTTCACCATTGCTCTTAGGTGCCCATTTCTGAGGCCAGGCAGCCCCAGTGAGGCCCAGAGCCCCACTTTAAGACATGCTTCAGGATCATTATTAATTCGTTTAAGAAACGGCTTCGTCCAGCACCCGGGATGTCCAGGCTCACCAGAGGGCTGGTCGTGGGGGGGCCCCCAGCCCCCTGCCAGGTACACACACACACACACACACACACACACACACACACACCCCTCTGGCTGTGGAGCGGTTTCTAGAAAGACCAAGAGTGCAGTGGACATTCCAGCAGACAAAGAGGCCTGGGTCACTGCCGAGACACAATCCCCATGCCCCCACACACACCTGGAACCCGAGGGTGTCGCAGGCAGCAGGTGATCGAGGACAGCTCACACCTGGGGCTTGGGCAGACAGGCTGATCTGTGTCCACTTGACTGTGTGGGTCCATCAGCCACCCCGCATGAACCACAGGGGCCAGAAGAAGGCACCGAGCTAAGGGCGGGGTCCTGCCCAGCCTGACCCAGAAGCCCTCTGCCCTCAGTTTTCCTTTCTGAGAGGACAGCTGTTGACCTTGGCCGGTGAGTGTGAGGCAAGTGGGTAGACCCCGAGTTGAGGGGGAAAGGATGGCCGGACAAAAGTCTCCCTGTGTCCTTACGGGCTTCAAGATCTATCTGACCATGGAGGACACTGAAGCCGGGCCCTGGCATCCCTGGCCACTGAGTAGGGTAAGGGTGGCAGGACAGGCCGGATTCCCTGTCCGTCCCCTGTAATGGCCGGCGTTTCCACTGGGACCCTCCCAGGTCACGCACTCCAGATGTTTAGACCACCGGCCAGCAGACAGGAAAGAGCACGGTACAAGAGCTTGTGAGTAGGGGCCCGGCTGGTTCCAGCCCACCCTGAGCCTGCAAGGACCCTTTTGCCCAGTGTCCAGCCCCTGCTGCCCTCCCTGGGCCCACTCCAGGCCCTGAGAGGTCACAAGTCATCTCCCCCAGAGCCTGAGACCCCTGGCCCAGCATCCTGCCCCAAGCCTCTCACGCAGGCTCCCTCCCAGGCCACCCCTGGGTCACTGACCGCAGGAGGCCTGGCCAGAGGGCTCAGGGTCACCAGCCATGTTTTGTCTCCAAACACTGCAGAAGGAAACCCCTTGCTGGCCCTGCCCACAAGGGCCATCCATCCACCACCACCCCAACCCCCGCAGTCATCCTGGAGCCATGGGAGTGAACCTCTCCAAGAGAGGGCAGGGCTGCTCAGGACAGAGGGACGAGCAGAGGGTCCCGGGGAAAGCCCAGCCAGCGTCTCTGGTCCCTGAAGGTCAAGCCCTGGGAGGGACACGGATCAGCCCTGGCCAGGCTCATGGCCAGCAGGCCCCCTCAGGCTCCCCTCCAACCTCCACCCACGTTGTCCCCTGCATCCATCCCATCTCTGCCTGGTGCTCCCACTGGCCCTTGGGGGCTCCACCCCAGACCCTCACTGGGCCATGCAGCCCGGGAGCAGCCAGCAGAACTTCCCATGTGCCACCTGCCTGATCCGGGCCGAAAGCTAGCTGCACAACTGCCCACCACCCCTCGGGTGGGGAGGCACCTGGGAGACCACACCTGTGCCCCCAGCACCGGACCATCTGGGCTGCCTTGCTGGACAAAGTGCCTCTCTGGGAACCGGCTCCTCCCGCTCCAGGAGCAGCTGGCCCTCGATAGGCCCCAGGCCAAGACTCGAAGGGCCAGAGATCAGGGCCACTGTGGGAAGCTGACTCTTTCTATCCAAATCCTCACCGCTTGGTGTCCATCCTAGTCCAGCTCCAGGGCATTCCCATGAGAACAGGGCAGTGGGTCCCTCAGCTGAATGACTAAATAGGACTATGCAAACAAGGTGTGTAAAACTCTCACCAGGATTGGTTACAACTATGCTAATAAGGTGCTTGGGGCCCATAAAGGGAATTAGTCAGTTCTGCCTTGACATTAGGCTTAAAAAATGTCAGTCTGGGGCTGAGAGGGAAACCTCGAGACTGTAGCCCTCAGACACCCTTCAACCTGGAACTGATCCCGCCTAACTCTAACCGCCTTCCCCCCCCTCCAGTCACTAAACAGCGCTATCAAAGGAGCGCTGCCCCTCCGAGCCATCAGCCCCACAAGCTGAACCGTGAATGCAGCTTCTGTCCCAAAGCAAGGCTCTGGAGATGGGTGGGGGGCAGGAAAGAAGGGTGTGTGGATAACACCTCCACCCCCACCCCCAGGAAGTGGGAAGAGAGCTGTTACATTACAGGGATTTGCAACTAATGTTGCACAACAAAGTCTGCAGAATGTTGCAGGGAGAACAAACTTGCTCACCCAGGCGGCAGTGAAAATACCAAAAGAGAATCAGTGGGAGCCGAGAACTGCCCAGACCCGGGAGGCAGAGGCTCTGACACAGGAGGAGCTCAGGGCCAGGCCTCGGCAGGGGGCAAGCTGACGGCCTCTGGGCAGTGCAGGCCCAGTGGAGTCCCTCTAGGCACCATGCCACCAGCCCAGCCAGCCAAACAGCTTCATGGTGTGTGCCCAGGCAGAGCGGAGGCAGGGGTGGGGCTTGCAGCTAGCCGGAGATAGGTCTGAAGGTGTCAGTAATGAGAAACGGGTCTTCTAGATTGCCCCTAGGGGTGGGTTCTGAGCCCTCCTAGTGGCGCAGTGGGTTAGGCACTGGGCTGCCCACTGCAGGGTCGGCAGTTCAAAACCACCAGCTGCTCCACAGGAGAAAGGCGAGACTTTCCACTTCCACGGCCTCTGACACCCACAGGGGCAGTTCCCTCTGCCCGAGGGGTCGCTGTGAGTCGGGTGCAGCAGCGGCTTGGTTTGCCTTTCTGTCTAGATTGTTCCTGCTACTTCAGAGCCACTGCTGACTGCCAGCCCTGGCATCCCTAACATGCCCCCTGGGCCTACGAATGCCATGTGCAGATTACAGAGACAGAGCAGAGAACAGGCAGGCCCTGAAGCCTAGGGAGAGGAGGGTGTGACCTCAGCCTTGGAGGAATGAATTAGCCCTGGGTGGGTGGGGGTGGGGGGGTCCTGCTTCTCCCCTGCACCCTGAGGTAACCAGATCTGACAGCTCCATGTCTTGGGGGGGCGGGGAGGCAAGTCACCCACCACAGAGTGCTCCGTGTGGCTTGTGGACAGGCTGGCCCAGTGGAGAGAGGGACCCTTGCAAGGCTGGGGAATTCTTTCAACACAGGCTGAGCGAAGAACCCCCTTCCTGGGGTCTAGAAGTCGGCTAGTCCCTGGACAACGAAACCAGAAGATGCTCGGCAGTTATGGAAAGGGTGGGATGTGCCCCTCTACTCGGTCAGGGGTGGGGTGCCTTGGAAGAAAGGCCTGGAGATCTGTGGTGTTACGAGGCTGCTGAGCTGGTCCCGACCCACAGCGACCAGAGTACCACAGACGGAAACACTGCCCGGCCGAGCCACCGGCACGATCCTTCTTAGGTGAAGCCACGGGTGGCCTCTGTCGGCCCATCTCGCCGAGGGCCTCCTTCCTTGCTCCACTGGCCCCTGCCTCTCCAAGCCCAGGGTCCTCTCCAGGGGCTTGTCTTCTGGCTCCCTCTCAGACAGGACCGCTGCGGGCGGTCGCCGGCAGGGTGCCACCTATTGCCCGGCGTGTCGGCATGCCCGCACCACACCATGGTGGCTTGTATGATGCTGGGATGCCGGAAGCCATGTCACTGGTATTTCAAGTGGCAGCAGGGCCACCCAGGGGGGCAAGTGCCAGCCAAGTTTCCAGGCGATGAAGAAGGAATCAGCTGCCCACTTGGGGAGGACTCACCATGGAAACTCTTACGCATCCTGGCCAGCTACTTCCCCCAAATGAGCCCCTGGGACCCCATGGAGCCCAGCCCCAGGGTGACACACTTGAGGCAGCAGAGTCAGGCTGGCGGGGAGCGGGTGGGGGGCGTTGGAAGGAGCCCTGGAGGTGCAGTGGTTAACGTGGGGCTGCTCACAGCAATGTCAGCAGTTCGAAACCACCAGTCACTTTGCGGGAGAGAGATGAGGCCCTGTGCTCCGGAAGGTCTGACGGCCTCAGAAGCCCACGGGGGCCGCTCCATGCTGCCTCGAGGGCCCAGGTGAGTAAGAGTAGGCAGGTGGTGGGGCTTTGTGGAAGGTTTCTCCCCTTTCAGCCACCACTCGGGGGTCAGCAGAGGCCCGAGTGCTGTCATGAAGCTGAACAGTGGAGTCTGCAGACTAAGGAAGACTGGAAGAAAGGCCGGGAGCTGTGTCTAGAAACTGCCTGATACGGCGCACCAGGGCCACGCAGTCCCCTTACAGGCTCACAGGGATGGGGGGGGGGGGGGGGGCACCATGCAGCATGGGCAGCAGCTGTCTCCCGGCTGGCCCCAACTGACCCATGACCGCTGGCCCAGCTTGCTGACCCCTTGCCTCCGGGACCTTAGGGATGGATGTTCCCTACATTCCTGGGGCACTGACCAGCACAGCTGAATTCCTGGAACCAGAAGGGGCGGGGAGAGGCAGGCGGGCAGGAGGAAGAGACCTCCAGCGCATCTGAGGTTAATCCTACTGGGGGCAAGGGAGCTCTGGAGAGAAGAGGGGCAGAGACACAGAGAGACTAGGAGAGAGGGACAGAGACACAGAGACCAAGAGACTCGGAGTGGCGTGAGAAGGGAGTCGGGAGAGATACAGAAAGAGGTGGAGACAGAGACAGCAGCGCAGGGAGGAGGCAAGGAGACAGGGATACACAGGGAGGCTAATGAAGGAAGGGAGAGATGCTGAGAGCCAGATCCCAGAAATTAGACCACAGAGTGGGAGGGCAGCACTGGGGGCAGGGGCAGGCAGGCAGGAAGGATTGAAGCTGGCCCAGCTGCCCATGGCCCCCTGCCCCTCCCATGGGCACAGAAGATCCATTAGATTCATTAGAGGAGCTCTCTCCCCGCCGCCCCCACCGCCATCCTGCTTCTTCCCAACCAGAGCTGGGCTCGGCCCTGGGGTCCCTCCCCAGGGTCCTGTCCTGGGACTCTGGCCAGGCCTCTGAGACTGCCCCTCACCCCCCAGGCCCTGGACTGTCCGGAGTCAGACAGCCCCTGGCAGGAAGGCGGGGGCCTGGGCAGCGGGCCCTTGGGCCAGAACAGAAGGCCTCTGTCCGGGCAGCTTCCTGCTGACCGCCAGCTGCACAGAGCTGAGGTCAGCCAGCTCAACGGCCCACCCTTTACTGTGTGGCCCAGGAAAGGAGGTGGGCGACCGCTCGGGGCATGAGGACCAGGAGGAGGACTGAGAGCAGGTCAGCTAGGGGCCTGTGGTGTGAGCCCCTGGGCCCCCAGCAAGGGGTAAGGCTGGAGATCCCTGCCACAGCATGTACGTGTGGGTTAGGGGGTTCTCCCCCTCCCAGACCTGAAGGGGTCTCAGGGAGACCCTGGCCGCCATGCCTGGGGGCCGGAGGACCTGAGCCTCAGTTTGTTGCTGAATGACAGCTTCTTGACACGCTCCCCCACCCCTCCTGCAACCGGCTCTTAAGCAGACAGTGAGCCCCTGCTTCCTCTCTCCCAGCCCCCCCACCCCGCCTCCCTCCCGCAACTGGATGGTGCCTGGGAGGAGCCGCCCTGCCCCGGCACCTGTTTTATGAGGGCGGAAGCCGTATGTCCAGGTGGTTTCCAGGTGCACCTGGCCAGCAGGCAGCTGTGCCTCATTGGAGCGGGCCCTGTGGGCAGTGTTCCTGCCTCTGACTGTGGGCAGGGCCTGCCTGTCCGGGACCTTTCAGTCCTGCTGAAGAGACCCAGCAGCATGGGGGTGAAGCAGGGGCTGGGCTGGCACCAGGCAGGTGGCAAGAGGAGGGGCCAGGCTGAGGGCCAGGTGGGGAACTCCAAGCACCACCTCCTGGCTACATGTTCTGGGTGAGCTAACTATTGAGGCAGCAATTCACAGGTCCATGAGGGCTAAGCATGCAGGGAATGTGTGTCTCAGGGCAGGGACACAGGGACCGTGGAACTCCCAGGCCCCTAGCCCAGAGGGGCCTGCACCCTTAGGCCACAGCAATTACAGGAACTCAGAGGGAAAAAAACTTGGAGGAAGTTTCCCTGGGACCGGAGGCCTCGCACCTGATTGGCACAGCTGCTCTGGGGATCCAAGAGGAAATAGACTTAGTCTGCAGCAGGAAGGATTTAGATCAGACAAAGGGAAGGACTTCCTGGTGGCTAGGAGATACTGAGACAGGATGTCCCCATCCAGAGTGTCTTCAGAAGAAGGGGCTGGGGGCATGGATATCAGGGGCAGAGGGTTCACACTCAGGCCGAGGTCAAATCCCAAGTCTGACCTTCTGGGTCCCTCTGAGAACCTGTCTGCTCTGGGCTTGTCTTTCTCCAGGTGTTTGCTACCTGAGGGCAGTCACTCAGGATGGAGGGGCAGCTCAGAGGGTCTCTGGATATGACAACAGGCACGGCAGGACCCCTATCTCCCTCCACCACCTACTTCATGGGCCTGGCAGGATTGAGACCGGAGCAGGTGGTGGCACAAGTACAAAGGTGTTCAGCTTCATACACAAGTATGTTCATACCCACTGATCACACTTAGCGTCATCTCCCAGGCAACACCCCCAGCCCCAACCCCTACCTCACGCCACACCCCAAACCCCTACCTCACACCACACCCCAAATCCTACTTCACACCACACTCCAAACCTCTACCTCTCAGCAACACCTTACCCCCCCATATCTATGGTGCCCCAACCATGCCCCAAAATCTATATCACTCTGTTTCAATCCTCCTCACCTTCTGGGCTTATGGACAAGTCAGAGGAGATGTCCAGCCCCAGCCGTGATGACTATGCCACCTCTATATCCAGGGACCTGTGGGCACGGGGCCTCCTGAAGCCAGCCTCACCACTGCCTGGGGTCACCTGCCTGGTCACACATTCACCTGTCCACTGTCACAGCCTATGGCTAGACCATCACGCCTGCAGGCACGGGCTGGCCAGTGTGGGGCTGCTCATCAGCAGGCAGTCACCAACAGTGGGTTCGATAGGGTGCACACTGAGGGGGTGCACACACCCTGGATCAGTGGGGGTGACTGGGAGGCCTCTAGGGTTAGAAAGGCTTCACGTCTTGGGTCTAATGGTCCCCAGCCAGCCCTACCCAGGACCTGCACCCCCAGAGGGGACCCCCTGCAGCCTCCAAGCTTTAGGTCCCTCCTTGGCCTCCACGCCGTTGCCCCAGCACCCTCAAAGCATGGCGCAGGCTTCTGGTGTGAACCCCCTCTGACTCCCCTCCAAGGTTGACAGCCATGCTCTGGGGGAGCAGCAGAGGCTGCCCAAGGGCCATGTGGAGAGTCCTCAGGAGCGCAAGTCACACTCCTGGGGAGGACGCCAGGCCAAGAGCAGCCAACAGCTCCCTTGTAGAGCAGGGTACCCGGGACCCCCCCAGGGTGCAGGGAGGGGATCCAAGACAGTGCTTCTCCTTGGTGGGCCTATTTCCTGTCTGCAGGGCCCTCAAGTAACTCAGACCCATAGGGAGTCTGCAGAACGGGGTGGAACGGCCCCTGGGGGTCTCTGAGACTGTGGGTCTCTGAGGAACAGAAAGCCTTCTCTTTCTCCCAAGGAGCAGCTGGTGGTTTTGAACTGCTTGCCGTGAGCAGCCCAATGTGAAACCATTAGGCCACCAGGGCTGCTCCCCACCCCACTCCCCACCGCCCCAACTTCTCCAGGCAGGGCTTTTAGAGGCTCTCTTTCTAACAGAAAAGAGCCCTCATAGCCTAATGGCTTCACTTTGGACTGATGGCCACAGGTCAGCAGTTCTAAGCCACCATGCACTTTGAGAGAGAAAGCTGAGGCTCCCGTGAAGAGTTACAGTCTTGGAAAGCCCAGGGCAGTGCTAGCCTGTCCTGCAGTGTTGCTGAGTCAGAACTGACTGGACGTCAGAGTTTGGTTGGGGGCTTTGGTTCTTCCAGAAAGTTTCTGAGCTGCAGGGTGGAGGACTCCTTCAGGCCCCTCTCCACCCCCCACCCCAGCAGGCACTTTAACCATTGCGAATTCACACAGTGAATTCAAAGGGTTTGTTGAGTGAATGAGACGGAGCCGCCCCCTTCCCCACGCACCTAACTGGGAGCACAGTCCCTAACCTGAAGGTGTCCAGGCCCGGCTTCCTGCTCTGACCCCATGGGTGCCTGCCTAGTCAGGCACTGCTCATCCCGAAGCCCCAGTGACCGTCGGGCTGTCCAGGCACCCAGGGAGGTCTTCAGGGAGGAGGCACCCCGAAGGATGGGCTGAGGCACCCCGAAGGATGGGCTGAGTCGCCCCAAGCGCCCGTTGAGGTCCAGCCCCCAGTTGCCCTGCCACTCGCGGCCGGGAAGAAACCTGGGCCTCGGTTTCCCCGCCCGCCCGTACTCACATGAGGTCGGGCCGGTGGCGGTGCAGGATGGCGCAGAAGGCCAGGCCGTCCCGGAACGAGGTGGTCATGTTGGTGATGTTCACGTCCCGGTAGCCCTCGCACTGCTGCCGGCACCACTGCTGCAGCGCTTTGATGGCGGCCATGCGGTCAGCGCCGGCGGGGCCCGGAGGCCAACGCGGGACCCCCTCGCCGTGCAGGGCCCGCCGGAGCCGAAGGCCCGCCTGCAGATGCGCGCTTGCACGGACGCGGCTGAGCGCGGCGGTAGAGCCCGGGCCGAGGCGGCTGGAGGAGGAAGAAGCGCGGCCGCAGCGCGGGGCCGGATCGCGGGCTAGCCCGCCGGCCACGCCCCCGCCAGCTAGGCCTCGCCCAGTCACGACCCTGCCCACCCGCAGGGCACGCCCCTGCCCGCAAAGCAGCGCCCCGGGCCCCCATCCCTCTCGGCTCTCCTGACTGAGTCAGGGGCCCTAGGATCCAGCCTACTCTCCAGCCACGCCCCGGAGCCCGGGCCACGCCCATAACCCTTTGGGGGCACGCCCCCGCGGGGGAGCCTGCCGTGTCCAGGGTGGATTCCACCAGCCAGGCAGGCAAAGCCTCCGGACGACCAGCCACGCCTCTGGCTCTCCAGTCACGCCCCCTCGGCCTCTGTCCCTCCCCACCCCTTTCCTCACGACCCCCAGTCTGGGGTCAACAGGGCGCTGAGACTGGTAGGGGCAGGTGGGAGGAAGCGGAGGGGAGCCGCATTGTCCTGGGCGTCCTGGCCATGCTGCCCCTGCTTCCTGCGCTTGTCTTTTCAATGGTCTATCCTTACCCCACCCCAGAAGGCAGACAGCTTACGGGTGGGGAAACTGAGACGTGCACAGACGTGACCTGCCTGGGGTGACTGGACCAACAACAAGTGGTGGCCCCCCGCCAGGCCAGCCTCTGGGGAGGCTGCGAATCCGGCTGCAGGGCCTGGGGAGGACCGCACCTCGAATTTTCTCTCTTCAAAGGACCTTCCGGCCTGGCCTGTTGTGCTGGCGCCCACTCTGTGCCCAGAGGGGCGTCACTGCGGGAGGGGGGCGGGTCCAGTTTGGAGTCTGCACTTGCTCTAGGGGATTTCCCAGGGATATTCCAGTAATTCCCTGTCTTTCCCAACTTTCCATTTTCCTCATCTGTGCAGCCTGGAATTGGGCAAAGTAGCACTGGGATGTCCGGAAGTGATAGGGCCAGAGACCCCTCCACGTCCATTATTCCCCGAGCCTGTGGTCACCTGGGCTGGGCCAAGCCGGAAGTACCTGAGAGGTGAAATAATCCCCCAGCCCGCCCCTGCCGCTGGGCTTGTCCCAACAGCTCCTGAGGGATCCACCCCAGCCCACGGGGAGGCAGCCCAGCCGAAGGCCATTCCCAACAATGGCCGCTGAGGGGGCAGGCCAGCCCGGGGAAGGAGCTGTTACCTCAGAGGATACCCTGGTCTCACCGCAGCCTGAGTGAGGCCCGTGCCTGGTGGGCAGTTTCTGGTTCCAGGTACAGGCACTAGCACCGCCAGGCAGAGAGCCCTGGGGCCGCGGATGGCTGTTGGCCTGCCTCGGGTCCCCAGCAAGGGGGCCAAAGGGCAATTTCGTGCCGACTCAGCCAGGGACCCAGCTAGTCCTGACCTCAGAACCAGAAAGGCCAGTTTACAGAGGGAAAGTGGTGAGGGGTCAGGCTGGGGACACAGGGGCAGCCGGGGTGGGGAGCAGGCCCTCTGGAGACAGTGACCAGGTCCCCACCACACAGCTGTCTTCCTTTCCTCCCCCCACTCTCCACCTCTGAGTGTCCAAGGAGAACAGGACCCGTGGGGTCGGTGTGGGCTTTCGGCGCTGCTCCCCAGGCCTTTCCTCAGAGGTGATATCTGGGTGGACTGCCCGGCCTTTCAGGACCAGGGTTAACTCTTTGCATCCCAGGGACTCCAAAGCACAGACTGAAACACAGCCTATGGGCTCCCCACAGCAAGCCCATGTGTGCGATCAGCTTTTCACGGGCCGGTCTTCTTCATAAGGGAATGCCAGGCCTTTCTCCCAATGCACCCTGGGTGGACATCAGCCTCTAACCCCTCAAGCATGTTAACCATTTGCACTATCTGGGGGTCCCTCTCTCCCCGGGGGTAGGGAGCCCAGGCCAGGACCAGCACACTCCCACCCCCCTTGCCCACCACGGTGCCCCTCCATTCACACCACCACCACCGGGCCCCTGGCCACTGCACCTGCTGCCCTTTCCACCATCAAGCCTCCGGATCTTTGTAGAACAGTCCAGACTAAGCCCCACCCTGCTCAGGCCGCACACCCTGAATAAAGTCCAGTCGCTTATCAGTCCTGCCGGGCCTCTCGGGCCAGCTGGCCCCTGCCTATTGCTCCTGCCACCCACGGCCTCTCCCCGGCGCACCCTCTGCTGGAGGGAGGTCAGCCCCTATTCCTGCCCCTCAGAGACTCTGCTCAGGCCACTTCCTCCCCCTGCAAGACCCTGCCTCCCAGTCCACCCCTGAGCCCTCCCCCTCAGCCACTGCCTAGACCAGTGTTTGCTGAGGGGCGGGGCCTGGGGGCTGACCAACGTCCCCAGTTGTCCTCTCGCCAGCTTCGTGCTGGGGCCCTGGCTCCCTGAGAGGCACGAGGTCCAACTACCTTCCCCTCTCGGCCTCAGCTTCATTCCATGAGGGGGGCGGGTCACACCTGTCCCTCACACCGAAGGTTACCTAGGGGTGGGCACAGGGTCAAATGGAAACCCAGCCCTGTTCTAGGGAGGAACCCAGTGTCAGCCTGGACCGGGCTCCACAGGGCTGCTTCTCTGACACTGACTGCCAGGCGTTTCTTCTGAGGTGCTCTGGGGAGACCCCCACCTTGGCTTTGGGTGAGCTTCTGGGTGCACCCTCAGTACTCAACACGTGGAGCCTCACACGCGCCCAGTGGGGAGCACCTGTGGCAGCTGTGAGTGGGCGGACGCTGGGGGAGGGGCAGAGGAGAAGCCTCAGTGGGGCCTGTTTGCTTCAGCAGCTGGTGCAGCCGATACTCCAGGCACCGGAAGTCACACTGTACCAGTGACAGGCACAGGGGACTGTCACCAGGGGCCCCAGTCCTGGGCATGCTGGGAAGATACTGATGGCTCCCGGAGAGGGGACCCCAGGACTGAGCCTGAGGTTGCGTGAATGGGGGGTTGTTTGATCAAGGTTGTTAGGATTTACAGCAATCCTTTTAAAACTTATTTTTAAGTAGCTCATTATTCCCACAGGGAACCCTGGTGGCACAGTGGCTACACGCTAGGCTGCTAGCCGCAAGGTCAGGAGTTCTAAACCACCCATCGCTCCACTGGAGAACAAGGCTTGCCAGTTCTGTAGGGTGACAACCTTGGAAGACCCCGGGGACAGTCCTACCCTGCCCTATAGGGTTGCTTTGAGTCACATCGACTCGATGGCATTGAGGCTGAGGGTTTGTTCTCATGGCACAGCTGGACTGGCCAGCCCAAGGCCACCTGGTTTTAAATCATCAGCACTGGGCTCTCCGGGTGCTCTTTCTCCAGAACTTCCCGTTGCTTTAAGAGAATCCCGAGCGTGTATTCCCGGATGCCCACCTTCCCGACAGGCTCGCTGAAGACAAATGTGTGCATAAGCAAATGTGATGAAGAAAGCGATGGAGCCCCGCTAGCAAAAGATATAGCGTCTGAGGTCTTAAAGGCTTGCAGATAAACAAGCAGCCATGTAGCTCAGAAGCATCAAAGCCCCCAATGGAAGAAGCACACCAGCCTGTGTGACCACGAGGTTTAGAAGGGACCAGGTATCAGACATGGAAGAACAAACAGTCAATCAGCGGGTGCCCACCTTCCCAATGTGATCAGCCCAAAGGACAAACAGATGCGTCTTGGGAGAACTACAGGGTGCTTGTTAGAGGCAACGACGGCCAGGCTTTGTCACGTGTGCTTTGGACGTGTTGTCAAGAGAAACCAGCTCCTGGAGAAGGACGGCATGCTTGGTGACAAAGAGGAAGACCCTCCAGGAGATGGAGGGACACGGTGGCTGCAGCCATGGACTCAGACACAGGCGCCACCGTGAGGCTGGCGGGGACCAGGCGGCTTTCCTTTGGATGTGCACGGGTCACTGAGTCAGAGCTGACCTGATGCCACGTAGCAAGCACCAGCGCTGCAACGTCAGAGAACGTGGCCCAGCTGCCCCACGGGGCAGTGAGGCGGCAGTCTGTGTCAGCACTGACAGCTCGCGAACCCCCAGGGGCGGCGCCACCCAGTCCTAAAGCATCCCTGAGCTGGCGGGGGAGTGATGAGAGGACTGAGCTCGTTACAGGAGCTTCCTCCTCCTCCTTCAGAGCGCCGGGTGTCATTCGCAGCCCAGTGAGTCACCCACGCCACCACCAGCCCCCCGCCCACCGCCACTCTGCAGACAAGTTGTCAGGCCTCTGGGGTGAGGGGACAACAGGATGGGTCAGGCCAGTGTGACGTGGAGGAGCTGCTGAACCAGGGTGGGGTGGAGAGGCCCAGTGGTCACCCATGACTGGACCTGGACTCCCTCCTGGTGGGTGGCCTCTGCTTCCTGCCACCCTCAGGGCCCTGCTCTCGGGAGCACTCATCTGCGGAGGGGGGGCTCGGGGCCTGGTCTGGGTAGAAGCACAGCTTGCAGTCAGCTTCGGAATCCCTCGTTGAGTGAACCTCCCTGCCCCAGATCTGTCTGCTGAGAACCGCGGCTTGTCTCCAATGTTGAAGACAGGAGGGGAGCAGGGCTGACAGGACCCCGTGTCACTCCCGGCCGAGGTGGGCAGGGGGCATTGGAAGCTGGGACACCCTGTTGTGTGTGGCCACAGTCACTAGCCAGGCATGTTCCCAGGGCAGGGAACAGGGAACAGCTCTTGCATGCCAGCTGTGAGCCTGTCCTGGGCTCAAGGCGGGGGAAAGCTATGGGTGGGGGTCCTGGAGCGGCTTACACCTCATTACAGACCCCGTTGCCTCACTCTCAGCGACCCCCACACGCCCTTCATTACTGATGGTTTCCTGGACAGTGGCGGCCTCGAGTTGCGTGCGACGCATCATAAATGTTTGATGGGGAATCTATAGCGAGCTATTTATCATTTATAACCGGTTACAGAAACATTATAAAACATTTACCACACGTCCATAGAGCAGCTCAGCAACCGCGCCGATGTGTGACAGATACATTATTAATCCAGTGCAGGCCCTCAACAGACCCCAGGTTATGGGGCCTGGCCCTTGCTCAGAACAAGGGCAAGGCAGGCAAGGGGCCTGGCCTGTGTGACCTCTGTGTCCCTCATTCCAAGTGCCCAAGACCCAACACTGTGCCCCCTCACCCTCGGCCCCTCGCTTGTGCCCCACTGACCCAGTGGGGGAATAGTACCACGTATGGCTGAGCTGGACTGGGGCTGGGGGTTGGGAGTGGGGTCCTGCTTCCCCCGATGATCCCTCTGAACACCAGAGAACCCCACAGGGGAGCGTGGGCCCTAGACTCAGACCCCCAGCTCCCCAGGTGGCAGAGACCAGCAGGCAGACACTGAGCTGAAGTAATCCCAGAAACTTCATCCTTCAAGACTCACTTCCCGATTCCCAGTGGCAGGGGAGATGTGCCCCTGGAGCCTGCCTAGCCCTGGGAGGCTGTGCTGAGAGGACCTCAGGACATTGCTCTGCCGGCCTGGGGCAGTCTAGGGGCTCACACCCCACCCCTGTGGTCTGGGGCCTGGCAGGGGCAGCTGGGCCCAGCGCCCAGCTACCATGGCCAGGAGGGAGGCCCTGGCTTGACTCTCCCCAGAACCAAGGTGGGCAGGGGCCCAGCATCCAGCCTGCAGATGGGAGCTCACTGTCATACACTGACCAGAGCCCCCAGGCATACCCACACAGCAATGCCCCCCATTGCATCCCTGACCCAGACCCCCCTGGCTAAGACACTCCCCTGCCCACTTCCCAGGGCCCACACTGAAGCTGGGTGGGGCAGGCCTGCTCTGTGCTCAGTGACTCCCAAGCTGACGGCAGGGGGGCCCCTCTTGGGGTGAGGCAGGGGCTGTGCAGAGGAGAGATTCCCTGCTGACCGCCAAGTCTGGCCAGACCCCACTTCCGGTCATCTCTGGCCGCAGCAGCCTGCCCCTTGACTAGAGAGGAAGGGGTCTGGCAGAGCTGGAGCCCCAGCTACCGGCGGGTGACGGCCCAAGACCCCGGAGCAGGGCAGAGCTGGGGTCCTGGGTACCCCACCCCACAGCTCCCTCTGTGCCCCACTGCCCCGAGGAGGAGCCCTCCCACTGGCCGGGCTACCTACAGTCCAGCTGTCATGCAGACTGAGGGCAGTCCTAAGGCAGGCCCCACCCAGGCATGGCGTGGGGGGTGGGGGGGGGAAGGGCAACAGAAGCACAGACCTGGGTCCCCACCCCACAACCCCTGACTGGGAGGGGAGTCCTCCAGGATGTGTGTCTGCGACACCCCTCCCCCAAAGTCTCAGGGACCCAGGAGGCCAGAGCCGCTGGGGGCAAGTCCACAAAGATGCAGGCAGGTGACAGGCAGGGACAGAAGTTTAATGTGGGCAGGGGGAGCATTGCTGACACCAGGCGGGACCGCAGCCCCATCCCTGTGCGCAGGGCCTGTGGGCAGGGGCAAGGCGGCCGGGCCCGGGTCTCAGAGGACGCCTTGGCAGATCACATGATGGCCTCCATGTGCAGGACACGCAGGGCCTCAGAGATCTGGGGGCTGGTGTCCACCTGGCCGTACATGCCCACCAGGAAGGCGCGGTGCAGCAGCACAGCCGCATGCTCTGTGGGCGAGCAAACCGGCTGATGGCGGCTCCATAGTCAGAGGCTGGCATTGGGGTGGGGACTGGGGACGCAGGTGACAGGGGTATGGGAACTGCAGGTTGGGGGTGCAGGGAATGCAAGTGAGGGCAGCTGGGGAGGCGGAAGCAGATGGGGCAGTGGAGGGATGCTGGGGCGCAGGAGGGCCAGGGTCAGAGGTGGGTCACAGGTGAGGGGGTACCTTGGCAGAGGAGGGTGTACTCGGGCAGGTTCTTGAGGGCCGTCTGAACTACCTCAAAGTCTCGGCTGCCCAGGCAGCACATGACGGTGGGCAGGAAGTCGGCTGCAATGCTGAGAGGGACGGGCACCCTGTTGGTATGGGCATTTCTGCCCACCTGAGGAGCCTTACCCTGGAGATGGCCTGGGGGGGAGCACTACTCTCCCTGCGGGGTAGGCAGGGTGGCGGGCCAGGCTCACCTGGGATTATACTGGATGGAGCGCAGGGCCAGGCTGAAGGCCAGGCTGCGGCAGGACTCCTCAGGGGAGCTCATCAGCCTCTGCAGGTGGGTCTGGGGGGGAGGGGCATGTCATGGGGGGGTCCCTGCGGCCAGGTTCCCACCCTCACCCCAGCCCCCCAGCCCTGCTCACCGAGAAGAAGCCCAGAATCTCTGGCCTCCGCCAGGACATCTCCTCAACGTCACCCAGTGCCTCCAGCAGGTCTGAGGGCACAGGAACAGAGCTGGGCAGCTGGGGGCCGCTGGAAGCGGGGCGTCCTGTCTATGGGGACCAGGTGCATCCCATCCCAGGCTTGCTGCAACCAGGAGTCTCAGGAAGCTGGGATTTGGGTGTCCACCCCACCAGGCCAGTGAAGTCCAAACCCAGCCCCATGTCCCCTGGGACCAGCCGGCTCATAGGGACCTCTGCCACCAGCCTGAAGCCCTCCTCTCCCCTTCTCAGTGCCTCCTCCATTTCAGGACAGTCACCAGCCCCCGCCCTGCACTCCACCCCACCCCCAACCGAAGCCCTGACTCACCCTCAACAGTCTGTCCCCGGGAGAGTCGCTTCATGTAGGGGACCATCTCTGACGAGGTCAGCGGGGTGAAGAGGGACACGCTGACCAGGGGCAGCGAGCCGGTGGGACTGTCGTCTGCAAGAGGGCCGGGGCTGCTGAGTGAGCCTGGGGGCCACCAGATTCCTGGTGGCCAGCCATGTGGGCCAGGGTGCAGGCTGCCCGGTGTCCAACCCTGAGAGCAGCCGTGCTGCAGGGGCTGGGACTCAGCACAGGTCACGGACGGCTGGAGGCAGGAGTCCTGTCTCTGCCTGCTTCTCTGCCCCAGCACCGTGTCCGCCTGCACCCTCGCCACACCTCGAGCCCTCCCTGCAAGCCAGAGGGTGGGGGCGGCACTGGGCCCCTGACCCTGGAGCCAGGGGCTAACCCGAGTCCCCCAAGGCAGGAGTGCGGCTGGCAAGCCGCTGCTCAGGGCACTCACTCCCACTTTCCTGGTCCAGGCTGCGGTCGGCCAGGCCACTCCTGCCGGGCAGGCTCAGGCCCGCCAGCAACGACTTGAGCATCACCAGGTCGCTGTTGTCGAAGGACAGGTCGCTGTGGGAGGAGAGGGTGAGCAGGTGATCATCAGGACCCCGGGGGGCCAAGCGAGGAGGCCAGGGATGGAGGGCGGGGCCGCGCAGATGGAGGAGGGTGTAGGGTCCCGAGGACACCCACTGCAGTGCGTCAGCGTGCGTCTGCAGGAAGGCCACAGCGGCGGGGGCGTTGCACGTGATGTACTTGTGGATGAACTGCACGAACTTGCTGATAAAGGGGGCCAGCTGGCGGGAGGACTTGCGATAGTTCTGGAAAAGTCGGGGTGTAGTGTCATGTCACATAGCCAGTCCGCAGCCCCAAGAGCGGCCCCCCTCACCGTGCGGCCCCGCCCCTACCAGCAGCAGCTGCACAAAGGAGAGCAGGCAGTCCCAGAGCGCCCCCTGGTGTTCGCTGTGGAAGACCCGCGGCTGCAGCAGCTCCAGGACGCCAAGCACGTGCAGGAAGAAGGTCAAGTGGTTCTGCTGCCGGAACTCCTGGAAGTTGAGGTGCGTGCGGCCGTGCAGCAAGGCGGCCAGCATGGGCAAGTGCCTGCAGGCCAGGCGGTCAGAGCTGGGTCAGAACCCGGGCTGACCCAGCCCTGCTTCCTCCAGGCCCACCCCCCTGACCGGTGGGTCCGGAAGCCAGTGTCCAGCTGAGAGCCGAACTCCCTGGGAGGCGGCACCTGAGCAGCAGGATGGGGTGGGCCACGGCCAGCTTCCGGCAGACCATGTTGGCGTCCGCCACTCGGCTCTCAGACGATCTCGAGTCGCTGGTGTCTGCCAGCAGGGCGATGAAGCGGTGGGTCAGGCCATCCAGCTGCCAGGGAGAGCCCGAGCTGGGGAGCCGTGCAGGGCCCTGCCCGCCAGTCCCATGCTGGCTACTGCTGTCCAGCAGACTGCCCGCCCCCCTCCCCGGGGGCTCTCACAGGGCTGCTGGGCAGTCAAGCCTGAAGCAGCCCCGGTGCCCATCAGCTTCGAAGGGCAGCAGACTAGACCAGGTCCCCACCCTGCACTGCAGCGGGGCCCCAACGTGGACAGTGTCAGCTATCAGGTCAGATGCAGCTAGGCCGGGCTGACGGCCCCCAGGATGTAGGGAAGGAGGGATGGGTGAGAGGGCCCCCTCCACCCCCCATCTCCTGGTGTCCTCACTGGGGTGGCCACAATCATCCCCACCCATGGCCTGCAGTCTGCCCGTGCACTGGACCCCTCACCTTGCAGACGCTGCTGCCAGGCGTGCCCTGGCCGTGCAGCAGGACCTCGGGCACAGGCCCCCGCAGCTCCGGCCGCTGTAGGTAGATCTGCAGCAGCAGCTCTCGGCAGTGCTTGCCCACCACACTGATGGGGACAGGGACAGGTCAGCCGCTGTGCTGCCCACACCCTCCCAGCCCGCAAGGAGGGAGCGGCGCTGCCCACACATGTGCCTAGAGGTAGCTAGTCACACCCAGGAGAGCCCACAGCCCACAGCCTCACCTGTCCCCCCGGGGGTCATTCCAGCCCTGACCTATGCACGGCCCCCAGGCGCCCCTTACCTGTCCCCCCACTGCTGCACTCGGCCCATCAGATGCTCCGCCACCTTCTGAACACCACCATCATCCCCTCGGCAGCAGCTGAGCAGCAGGGGCAGCCGGGCCTGGATGAGGCTGCAGGAGGCCTCGTCGGCCCCGGAGCCCCGCGCCTCGGGCTCGGCCAGGATCAGCTCCACCAGGCTGACGAGCTCAGGGGCGCGCACCCGCAGCACCCGCTCCTCCCGCCGCTTCTGCAGCCACAGTGGCCAGTCAGCTCCACGTGCTGGACGCCCCCCGGCATGTGTGCCCCCACCCCGCCAGACTCGCCCACGGCACACTGCACCCCCACATGTGCTGCGCACATGAAGCTCACACCCCACCACGCAGACCCCGACATGCCTGCGGGGTGCGCTGGTCCCGGCCCTGCCAGATCCGGGGCACGTGGATGCAGGCCCACAGGAAGTCCAGGGAGGCGGAGGGGTCAAGCCTGCGGAGACAAGGTCTAGGGTCTTGGGGACCGGCCCAGAGCAGACAGAGGCACAGGCATTATCAAAGGCCCGGGGAAAGGGAGAGGCATCCTGGATGGAGGCTGGGTGCTGCTGGAGCCTCGGAAGGATGTGTGGGTGGAAGAGCTTGCTGGCTCGGTTGCTGGGGAGGCTGGGAGTTGGGGCAGGGGCCCTGGACCAGGTAAGTGGAGGCTGAAGCTGGATATCAGATAGCCACAACTGGCAGCAAGTGTGGCCCGGTCAGGCCCGGGGTGGGGTAGGTGGGGGTGGGGGGGCCCACCTGCGCTCTCGGCCCTTGCTCAGCAGGGAGTGGATGCAGCAGTGCAGAGTGGCCCAGTTGGACTGGTGGGTGAGCAGCGCCAGGAGGTATGGCCGGAAGGTCGGCCCCTGGGGGCCCATATGGCCCTTGCCCTGTGGAGGAGAGTGCTTGATACACCAGCTCCCTGTCCCCCCATCTCCCCAGTCCCTCCAGTGCCACCCGCTCTCTTGTCAGGTTCAGTTGAGGATCCTGTCCTGTCCTGCGTGCGTACCACAGGCCACATTCCCAGTCCCCCGTCTGCCATGTACTGGACAGGGGGCGTGGGCAGCCGAGAGACCTGAAGCTAAGTCCCCAAGGGACACATCTGAGCAGGTGCAGCTGTCCTGGACGCAGGCCAGGCCAGCAGGTGGGCATCAGCCCATCCTGCCCCTCCGCTGCGCCCTGCCCGCTGCCCACCTTGTTCCTTGAGAAGAGCAGCCTCTGCTGCAGGTCCGGGCAGCTGCTGACCACCTCAGGGTCAAGCCTCTCCAGCCAGTCCACCAGCAGCCCAGAGGAGGGCCCCAGACACACGGCCTCCCCGCTGTGGAGACGCAGGGTCAGAGGGGCAGATAGCAGCCGGTCCCTACGCCTGCCCCCCACCTGTCTCCCCTAGACTGGCCGCCGTCCCTCACCTGCAACCGTCTGCACCAGGCGTCCCCGGGGCCACGGGCTCCTCCTCCTCCCGCAGCAGGGCACTCACCACGGCCACCGGCCTAGAGGCAGCACGCAGCGGTGCCAGGTCTGCGGGCGCGGTGAAGAGCACGGCCAGCAGCTCCTCCAGGTGTGGGGACTGAACATCGATCAGCCCCCGGAGGACTGGGGGAGAGGAAGCTGTGTGCACTGCCTGCCGGCACAGGCCCGCGCCAGCCTCCCCCGCCCCACAGGCTGGCCAGTGCTACAGAGGCAGACGGACCACTCAGCACGTGCTGGCCATGTCTGGGCGGGGCAGGAGCCAGTGAGGGGGCTCCCCTGGGAGGGACACCTGTCTAGGCAGGGACATGGGTGGGCTAAGAGCCAGTGAGGGGGCTCCCCTGGGAGGGACACCTGCCTGGGCAGGGACATGGGGCAGGACTTGCGCAGCACACACCTCTGAGCAGCAGCTCTGGCTCCAGGCTGCACTGCTCCCCCACCCGCAGGCTGGTCATGACGGCCCGCACTGCCGCGGTGACCGCTTCGGAGTCATGCCGGCCACCCAGGACCTCCGCCAGGTGCAGGAAGGTGCTGCGGACTATGAGGGGGCTTCCTTGAAGGCCAGGAGCTGGGAGGAGCCTACCCTGCCCCAACCCAAGCCTAATGGCCACTCTGCCTCCCGGGCCGTCCACCCCTACACCCCTCCATCTCTGGAACCTGCCGGCTATGCCCACTGACCGTCACCACACCGGTGCCGGGCCGAGGCCTGGGCGGTCAGCAGCCGGAGCTGGGCCACCAGGGGCCCTGGCTCGCCGGCCAGACCCTGCAGCCAGTGCAGCAGCTCTGAGAGGACCTTGAGCAGTGTGGACGAGAAGTTGGTGTCCTGGGGCATGCAGCGCTGGGGGGACAGGATGCAGCACCATTAGCCAGCCACCCACCTGGTTCTGCCCCAGATTTATCCACATCCATCACCTGGCACAGCCCCCAGATGTCCCTGCGGTCGCCCACAAGGAACTGCTCTGAGATATCCCCTGCACTCCCCACCTGGCACTGCCCCTGATGTCCCCTGTACCCCGGCCTGGCACTGCCCCTGATGTCCCCTATGTCCCCCACCTGGCACTGCTTCAATGTCCCCTGTGACCCCTGCCTGGCACTGCCCCTGATGTCCCATGTCTGCTGCCTGGCACTGCCCAGAGATGTCCCCTGCACCCCCTATCTGGCATTGCCCCTGATGTCCCCTGAGCCCCGCCTGGCAGTGCCCCTGGTGTCCCCTGCCCCCACCTGACACTGGTGCAGCAGCCGCAGCAGCGGGCAGGCGAAGACGTGACTGCGGTGCATGGCCATGGCCAGGGTGCCCCCGTGGGGGGAGCTCAGCAGGGTGGCCAGGGCCTGCAGGACACGGACTGCAGTGCCGGCCACCGGGGGGTTTCCCCGGCGCATGTGGGCCAGCTCCTGGCCCAGGGCCTGCTGCAGGGCCAGCGCGACGGGGTGGGGCTTGGTGCTCTGCCACCGAGGGTCGGGGTTCAGCGGGAAGATCTGTGAGGAGAGGTTCTGCCAGGTGGGGCCTGAGCTGAGGGCAGGCATGGGACCCAGAGCAGCTTCCAGCCGACCCCAGCCGAGCCACTTCCCCGCTCAAAGGCCACTGTACTGCAGAGGAGCGGGTGCTGGCAATGGCTTCCCAAGGCTGGCTTCCCAAGGCTGGCCACCCAGCCTGCTGCAGCCCCTGCATGGACCTGGACACACCCACCCAGCTCAGACTACCCTCACAACACCCCTGAAGGGAGGGGTGTTCTCACCCTTTCCACAGCTGTGGAAACGGAGGCCCTGGGTGGCTGACTGCGCGTCCAGGGCAGCCAGGGCCCAGGGAGGTGGGGCGGGGGGAGGGTACCTGCAGCAGCAGGCCGGCCAGGTCATCCTCAGGCTCGATAGCCCTGACCTGGGTGCCTGCCCGGATCCTCCCCTGACCGGATGGGGGCTCAGGGCTGCTCCTTGGTTTTGGGGGGTCTGTGCTGTCTGCAGACAAGGGCAGTCTGGTTAGGAAACCTCATCCCGCTTGGGGCCAGTCATCGGGGCGAAGCGTAAACACAGCGGGTGCTACCTCGCCGGGGGGGCAGGGAGGCTGTGAGCAGGGAGTGGAAGGTCTGGCCCCCCGAGGCTCCTCTCTCGTGCTGGACTTCCACCAAGTGGGCCATGTAGTCTGCAAGACACACAGGGTCAGAGCGGGGCCCCGCTTCCATGCCCAAGTCTGAGGACTCCCCTCTCCCATGTTCAGATGGGGGACACCCCTCTCCTGTGTCCAAGCCAGGGAAGTCCCCTCTCCTCCCACGTATCATCTGCGGGCACTCCCCTCCTGCATCCATGCAGGGACCCCCCCCTCATGTCTGGGTGAGGATGTGTCCTCAGGCTGCCACAGGCACCCCGCAGAGTGTCCGGGAGCATTCTGGGATAGTCTGGGCTGCAGGGCGAGTGACCGGGGACAGCCTGGGCCTGACCCTCCTGCCCGAGACCCCGAGCTCACTCTTGTCCATGATGTTCTGCTCCAGGGTCTGCGGGTCGTGGGCCACTGCCTGGTCCAGGTAGTGTAACAGCTTGTTCATGCTGGGCACCGGGATGCCGAAGGACTGCACAAAGAGCAGCAGCTGCTGCGGCTCCAGGTCCTGCAGGGCTGCACGCACCACAGGGCCCTCAGCACTGCGGGGACAAGCATAGACCACGCGCACACACACACACACACACACACACAGGGCCCTCAGCACCACGGGGACACACACACGGCCCTCAGCACTGCAGGGACATGGAGAGGTACACACACATACACACACACACACACATACACACACACACACACACGGCCCTCAGCACCGCGGGGACACACACACATGGCCCTTGGCACTGCAGGGACAAACACACACACACATGGCCCTCAGCACTGCAGGGACATGGAAAGGCACACACACAAACACACACACGGCCCTCAACACCGTGGGGACCCCTCCCCCGGGTCCCCCCCCCCCACGGCCCTCAACACCGCAGGGACATGGAGACACACACACGGCCCTCAGCACCACGGGGACATGCATGTACACACACACAAACACACACACAAACACACACACACAGGGCCCTCAGAACCAGGGGGACACACACACGGCCCTCAGCACTGCAGGGACATGGAGAGGTACACACACATACACACACACACACACACACACACACACACACACACGGCCCTCAGCACCACGGGGACATGCATGTACACACACACAAACACACACACAAACACACACACACAGGGCCCTCAGAACCAGGGGGACACACACGCACACACACACACAGCCCTCAGCATCCCGGGGACACAGGACCGCACACGTGGACCTTAGGGTTATGTAAAAGCCACCTGGGACACGGGACTGCCCACCAGGCAGGAACCCAGGGGCCACCGTGGTGACCCTGCCAGCCCACCCTGCATACCAGCGTCCACCAGGCGCGGCACCTCGGAGCGGATCATGCGCAGTTTCAGCCAGTCGGGCAACAGCAGGGCCTCTTCGGATGTGTCCACCAGGAAGGCGGTGGGCAGGGGCTGCTGCTCCGGGAACCAGATGTCCAGCAGCGCCTGGAACTCCGTGTCTCCAGCTTCAGAGAGACCCGCCCGTCGGAGCCGGGCAGTGGTCAGTACCCAAGCCACGTTCAGAGGTCCCACAGGGGAAAAGGCAACAGGAGCAGCAGCAGCCCAGCTGGGGTCCTGGCACCTGACACCCCCACACCAAACACCTCCATCACTGTGCCCCGCCACCAGCAGACCCCAACCCCCCGCCGACACACACACAGCTCACCCTAGTGCAAGCCTCACCCCATCCCCATCCCTGCGTTTACACAAGGGCAGACCACTCCCTGCCAGGCGCTCACCACGGGGTGGGCCGAGTGTCAGCAGGATGACCATGGCGTGCACCACCAGGATGTGCATGGTGGCCGTCTCCCCACCCGTCCAGCGCAGGAACACCTGGTCCTGAGACTCTGACTGGGAAGGGGGCCTCCACGTTCAGGGACCTCCTCCCCCCACTGCCCCCGGCCTCACCCAGCTGTAGCCCTCCTCCCCCAGTGCCCACGGCCTCACCCAGCTGTAGCCCTCCTCCCCCGGTGCCCACGGCCTCACCCAGCTGTAGCCCTCCTCGCCCTCCTTGCTCTTGCGCATGCGCTGCACGTAGCGTGAGAAGATGGACAGCAACGCCCCCAGCACGGCGTCGGACTCGGGCCGGCGGGCCGGCTTGGAGAAGAGGTGGGCCATGATGGTGGAGCGTTCCACGACTAGCCGGGCCACGTCCTGCAGGGCGGCCAACTCAGCTGCAGGCCAAGCTGCCCTGCCCACCTCCACACCCCACACCCCCACGGCTGGCTCCCAGGACTCCTGGGACCCTGGGGGTACTGCTGAGGGTCAGCCGCCAACCCTGCCCCTGCTCACTGTTCCCAGCTCCCCAGGGAGCAGTCGTCCACCTGGTAGCTTACTTCCCTCTTCCTGGGACCACTGTCCCCCCTGGGACTCCCAGGGCTCCTCCCAGTCCAGCTCTCAGCTCAGGGACCCGTCGGGAGGAGCTGGTGAGGCTGAGGGCCAGCAGCCCGCTCACCAGGGCCTGGTCACTGTGCTGGCTCTGCTCCTCCACAGGCGTGTGCTTGGACAGGTACACCAGGTAGGCGCTGATGGTCTGTGGGTCCGTCTCCACGTGGATGGCCTGTAGGAAGCAGTGGGGGGAGGGGGGGCTGAGCCCGGCCTCTGAGACCACCCTGCTGCCTCCCCCAGCATCTGGGCTCTCCTCAGCCCTTTGGGCCCCACTAGCCCCCTTCCCCTGCCCTCCCAGCACCTTTCCCCCCTACCCCACTCCGCAGTGGCCCCACCTGCTGCAGCGCCAGCGTGGTGGTGCTCCGGACGCTGTGGAAGAGAGGCAGGCGGGGCAGGTCACGGAGCAGCCACTGGTAGCCTGGCAGCATCTCAGGTTCGGCGGCGGCATCCTCGTCCTTCGGTGGCTCCTTCTCCTCCCCGTCTGAGCGCAGACTGCCCTCCGACAGCACCAGTGACAAGCCCTACCGGGATGGGGACATGGACCTGGAGGCCCCTTCTGGGTGTTTGTGTGTGTGTGCGCTTGTGTGTACAGAGATGGCTCTGATGGCACCCCCCTCCCAGTGCAGTGCTCCGCAGCCCCCACTGCCCACCCCCCCACCCCGGCCCTGGCTCGGCCACCCTGCTGGGTCTCCCTCCCTCGCACAGTCCGGTGGTCCGAGTTCCAACGTGCAGTGCGGTTCCCACTTGCTGCAGGGCTCCTGAACCGACTCCAGGCAGTCCACTCAGACAGGGACCAGGGCCGGCCTGGCCCACTCACCTTGGTGGCCAGTCCACGTGAGGCCGCCTGGGAGGAGCTGAGGCGCCGCAGGAAGTAGTCCAGCACCTCGCAGGCCGTCTGCTCATCCGCCTCGGGGCCCAGAAGCAGGTCCTGCAGGCGGCCCAGTAGCTGCCGCTGCTTCTGCCGCCTCTGGGGGTGGGGTGGGAGGCTGTCAGAGAGGGCCGGGGCTGGGGGCTGACCCGGCCCTGCTCCTGGGGGGCTGTCCTAACCTGCCGCCGGCGGGCCCTCTGCTCCTTGCTCTCGCCGTCCTCCTCGTCCTCCCCGGAGGCGGCAGCGGCCGAGTCATGCAGCAGGAACTCGCACAGGCACTGCACAGGCAGCACGTCCAGGGAGCCCTCGCTCGACTGCACCAGGTCAGCCAGCCAGGGCATCGACTGCGACGAGGCCTGGGACAGCGGATCTGCACTCAGCAAGTGTCGCGGCCGCTGCGCCCACGCCCCGTGCCCATGCAGCCCTCGCTCGCTCGCTCACTCACCTGCCTCTGGATGATGTTGAGCAGGAAGTCGGGGCTGCGGCTGCAGCACAGCAGGTGGCCGAGCCGCAGGGACTGGTTGAGGGCTTTCACCTGCTCCAGGATGTGGGGGGGAGGCCTCCGGGGGGGCCCTCTGGAAGGCAGAGGCAGGCGCGTCAGGAGCGGCCGGAGCCCGGGCTGCCCGCCTCGGCCGCCCCTTGGGGACGTACTGCGGGTCGAGGCTGGTGAGCTGGGACAGCAGCAGGCTGCTGCTCTCGGTGATGGTCTGCTTGGTGGAGGCGGCCGCCAGGTGCCCCTCAAAGGCCAGGATCTCCTGCTTCTCCCGCTGCGAGAGCTGCAGCTCCCGGCTGACCACCTCGGAGCGCGTCTCCTCGTCCGTCAGCGTACAAGGCGGGTAGGAGTAGTTGCTGGGGGCATGGCAGCGCAGGTTCATCACAGGGGGTCCGAGTGTCCCCAAGGGTCACTGGCATGCCAGTGGGAGGAGTCCAGTGTCTTAAAACACCCGCCACCTTCCACTCCAGCCCCTGCTTGGCAGACACCCCCGATCCCAGACTGCCCTGGGGCGCTCCACCCAGCTCACCCGCCCCACCGCCCCTCGGTTCCCTTTTACACCTCACCCCTAAGGACCCACATGCGGCCTCCGGGGTGGCACATGCTGCCCGAGCCCTCTCAGCGCTCCCCACCTACCAGAAAGCCGTCCAGTCCTATTGTGTCATGGCCCCCAAATGAGGACACCCACCTCCCACCTCAGGGCCCAGTCAGCTCCCACCATGCACCTCTCGAAGGCCCTGCTGCCCCACTCCCATCAGGGCCGTGCGCACAGGCGGCAGGCAGCCAGCCGACTCACTTGGTCATCACCATCTCCATGAGCATCTTCAGGGTGGGGTACTCCTCCCAGGCAGCCAGGCCTGGCGGAGAGATAGGGCACGCTCAGGGAGTGAGACCAGTGATGGCCATGTGGGGGACCCAGGGCCTCTGAGGGCACTCACCGATGTTCTCGGGGTTGAAGGCGGCCACAACCAGCAGCAGTGGCCAGGCCTTCCAGTAGAGGGTAGAGATGGCCAGGTTCGGAGGCTGATACCTGCAAGGCAGCCAGGTCCCCAAACGCTGCATGAGCCACCGCCCAAACCAGTCCCACTCCAGGGGCTCATGGGAGAGGCACCCAGACACATGCCAATGGCCACACCCACCACTGTCTACCCACCCACTGACCCATGCACACCATCCTTCACCTACACAGCAGCCAGGGCAGGCAGAGCCCGAGGCCAGCACGGGTGGAGGAGGGAACCCAGCGCAGTTGGGGGAGGGGGGGACAAGAGCATAACGGGTGAAGGGAGGCTGACCCCGGAGGGAGCTGGATGTTCTCCGGGTGATGATAGGTGCAGAGGTTGAGCACGGCGTCGATGAGCTGGACCCGCTCCACCTTCAGCACGTCCACATCTGTGAGCCAGACCGCAGCCAGCTGTGAGCCCCACCCAACCCCATCTCAGCCCACACGCACCCCCCCACTGGCAGGCAGGGCTCAGGACGCCGGGCACGGGGACACTGGCCAGGGGCTCACCTTCGGCCTGTGCAGCGGCAGCGCGCTTCACCAAGTGGTCGGCAAGCTCCATGGCGTCGGCGGGGCCGAGGGGCAGCTCTCGGGACAGCCCGATGACCAGGATGCGCATGAGCGTGTCCTCCAGCACGGGCACCTCCGAGCAGAGGCGCAGGAAGAAGCTGTGGGGGAGGGGTGGCTGCACTGGGGCTGCAGGGCCCGGCTCACAGCAGGGGGTGTCTTTCCCCTAGAGTTCGGCTGGGCACCTGGACACGGGCAAAGTCTGTGGACACCTGAGTGTCTGGGCGGTCAGAATCGGGGAAGGCCCGGGCTGGAGTTTGGAGGTCTTGGGGAGGCGGGGAAGCCCCCGGGCAGGAGGCTGCTGCACAGACCCGCCCTCCCTCTCTCCACTAGGACACTCACTTGCGATCACTCTCGGGCGGCCAGTTGTCCCATTTGTAGTAGGTCTCGGGCTGCTCCGTGAAGAGCACCTTGTGCAGGCTGGGGAGGGGCAGAGGGGTCTGTTGGAGGCTGGGGAAGATGAGGGCTCTGCCCTGCCCTCCCCAGAAGACCCCGGCTTCCCCTTGAACAGAGGCACCACTGCGTCAGGCTGCACGCACCAGTGCACGTAGTCCTTGGGTGCCAGCTTGCTGATGGAGGGCACCACGGTGTGCAGCCACCACACAGCGTCCCGCTGGATGGCTGCGATCTGGTTCTGGAAGGCACGCAGCACCTCGAGGTCTGGGAGGGGTGGGACACCAAGGGTATGCTGGGAACAGGGCCCGCCTCAGCTGGCACAGCCCTGCCAGGCACCTGGTGGCTGTCATGGCGCCAGGGGTTCAAGTCCCCAGCCCTCAGCGATCACACCTCTAGAGGCCATGCTGAAATGACAGGGCCGACGCCACGCCCTCCCACTCCCCGTCCCTGTCTGCAGGGCCAACAGAGGGCACAGCAGGCCCCAGGCCAGGAGCCCGAGGAAGCAGCAAGCAGCGCCCGAGGCCCCGAGCGACCCGCCAGCAGCACTCACTCCTCTTCTCGCCCTTGTCCCAGGCGACGCCAGCCTCCTTCACCTGGGCAGTGATGCCCAGCATCATGGACACAGCCAGCAGGTCCGTCACATGGGTCACGAAGCGCTCCTGTGACAGAGCGGGTGTTTCAGGCTCCGGGAGGGGCAGAGGCCTGTAGAGCTGGTCAGCAGCAGGGTTGTCCCAGAAGGGGACACAGCCCAGACCCCCGGGGAAAGACTGGTGAGGCTCGCCCCGGCCCCTGCCCCCACCCCTGCCATTTCCCAGCAGCCCCTCCTATCATTGAAAACCCAAGCAGTGCAGACCATGTGCCACCCTGAATGGCCCCACCCCCACCTCAGCTCAGTCTCCTGCCTGGCCCCCACAAACTGTGTTGCACATCGGGGCCCAGGTACCAAGGGGCTCGCAGGGCGGCACCTTGAGCTCCATGTCCAGGTGGGGAGGCTCCCTGCGCTCCTGCATGAGGCCCAGACACAGTGCCTGGAAGTTGATCTCATGCTTGGTCTGCCGCACGATCTCACGCAGCAACGCCCGCGAGGCCCGCAAGTAGTCGTCCTTGTTGGTCAGCAGGTCCTGGAACACCATGGCCAGGAACTGGGCAGAGAGAGGATGCTCAGGGCTGTGGAGGCCCACCAGCCCCCTACCTACGTGCCCTAAGCCCCCCACCCACCAGCCTGTCCCTGCTTTGCCCAAGTGGAGGTGGCACCTTGGGCGCCAGCTCGGCACTGTGCTGCAGCACGGTGTACAGGATCTGCATGTTGTTGGGGTTCCGGGCATTGGACAGCTCATTGAAGACCACAAACTTGATGGTAGTACCCAGGTTGTCCTTGTGCGCGTTCAGCAGCTCCCTGAGATGAGAGCCGCGCTCACCAGGCTGCCCTCCGCCCCACACAGCACTGTGGGTGAGCAGGTCTCCTGACCGTCCACCTGATGCACAGCCCCCATCCCCACATGACACAGAGCACATACTGGGGGTAATGGCCCCTGCCCCACCTGACACAAGCACATAGTGGGGGGTGATGGGCCCCCCCACCTGACACAAGCACATAGTGGGGGTAATGGCCCCGCCCCACCTGACACAGAGCATGTAGTGGGTGAGCAGCACTTTGGGCTTCAGGCGGATCTTGATCAGGTTGGAGATGACGTCGACGTCCTCAGGGCCATGCGTGCTGCAGTTCATGCACACGGACATTAGCAGGTCCTGGGCCGGCCGAGTCAGCTGCATGGGGCAAGGGCGGGGGCAGAATGACACCCAGTTCAGCCTGGCTCGGGTGCTCAACCCCAGCCCAGGCCCGCCCTGCACCCACCTTGGGGTTCTGCAGCCACATCTCCAGCTTCTGTACCGCCATCAGCCGCACCTCCTTGTAGCCACAGGTGGAGGTGAGCAGCCGCAGCAGGTTCCGAGAAACGTTGTCGATGGGTTGGCGCCGGGTGAGCTGGTCCCTCAGAGCATCCAGCACGTACTCTTCCACACTCTCGGCCAGCTCGTCGTACCTGGTGGAGGGAGGGCACATTAGGTCCAAGCGCCCTCGCCTGCCACCCCCATGCTGGAGTGGTGCACGCAAACTGACCTGGCCATGAGCTGGCCCTCCTGCTCCACGGGACTCAGCTTCTCCTCTGCGATGAGCAGCTCCGTCTGGCTGTCTTCCTCCTCCGTCAAGGATGGGTGCGGGCTGCTCCCTGCGCACAGGGCCACAGCACACTCACTGCCGGTCCTGGCCCCCGCAGCCTCGCACCCCCAACTCCGGAGCTTACCTGCACTGAGGTCCCCGCCCCCTCGGCCCACCTCCCCCTGCAGCAGCACGCTCTTGGGGGGCATCTTCGTGTTGAAGGCCGTCTGGATGTTGTCCACGAAGGTTTTGCAGTGAGGGCTGTCCACCCAGATCCGCTCGCCCAGGGAGTCCTCGATGTACACCTGTGGGCAGAACAGCTGCTAAGCTGAGCCTGACACACACACACACACACACATACACACAAACAGACAAAGGCCCTCATTTGCTGTGTGCCCGGCCACCGAAAACCATAGCTCTCTGGAGGGCAGGTGGGGGATGGCAGGTCCTGGGCTGCAACAGCCCACCTTGACAAAGATCTCGGGCCAGTTCTCGTCTTCCTCATAGGCGGCCATGAGGAGGTTGCAGGCCAGCACAGAGACCAGGCTGTTGCCCTTGGTCTTGAAGTTGATGGAGGCGTCCCGGCGCAGGAGGCTGCACAGCGCCTAGTGAGCGGGAGTGAGGTAGGGCTTGGGTCACCCAGTGAGTCTGGCTGCTGGGGGTTCTGCAAGCGTGTGGGGCGGGACCAGGACCCCCAGCCCAGGCCGGGGCCACTCTCACCTCAATGACGCCCTCGGTGGCGAAGATGTTGGGCTTGATCTTGGCCAGGTACATGAGGCTGAGGTAGAGCGTGCTGTCAGGCTTGGGCCGCGTGAGCCGCAGCTGCCGGGCCGCCCCACACAGCACGCCCTCGATGCGGTCATCGTTGCCCTCCAGCTCCGCGGCCTCGATCTCGTCCAGCAGCGCCGTGGGCAGCACTGCAAGAGCTCCGCGTCAGCCCGGGCCGCAACCGAAACTGACTTGCTGGGAGCGCCCAGGCCTGGACAAGCAGCCCAGCCACGCCCACCACCCCCCACACGAGCCAAGGGGGCGCCCCGGCAGAGCTTCCCCCGCAGCGCCCCGAAGAAAGCAAGTGGCTGAAGTGCTTGGCTGCTAACCACCTCAGAAGCCAAGCCTGGAGACTACTTCTGAAGGGTCACAGCCCTGGACGCCCACCCCCACAGGGCGCAGCCCCATTAGGGCATAGGGGTGGGGGTCACTGTGAGTCCGAACCACGCTGTGGCAACTGGTTTCCACCAAGGAAAAAGGGCTGAGCAGCCTGACCTTGACCACTGCCCAAGCCCTGTGGCCGACCACGTGGCTCCTTCCCTTCCTGCCACCCCCAGATGGCCAGGGTACCTTCGATGGGTACCACGGACGGCTCCTTGATCGAGGGGGAAATGGCTCGCTTCTCCGCCACGGCAGCCTCGGCCAGGCGGCCCAAGGCACTCAGGGGGGGCGTGGACGAGAGCTTGGGGCGCTTGGTGAGGCCGGTCAGCCCCGAAGGCCCCGATAACGCGGCTGCAGCATCCCGCTTGCGCTCCGATGGAAGGCCAGGAGGGGGCGGCTTCAGCAGAGTGGACGCCGCCTTTGACTCGCTGGCTTGCCCCTTGGAGCCCAAGGCGATGAAATCGCCAGGCGGCGGGTGTCCTGCGGGAGGGAACAGAGAGTCGCACGACCTGGCGGTGCGAGGGGGACCCGGCCTGCCCCTCCAGAGGGGCACGGAAGGGGCCGGCGCTCCCCGGCTGCGCAGGCGGCCTGCGTTCGGTCCTGCTCCGTAGAGTCGCCCCGAACAAAGGCGCGAACGCAAAGCCTCGGCCGTGCGGGCGCCCCGGACCGGCCCACTCGCCTGAGGGCTTGGCCGCGGAGCTGGGCCTGCGGATGGCGGCG